GGGCATCTACGTGGATTTTTGTTTTTTTTTCTGTTTTGATGTGATTTAATGACTTATTATTAATCAATAATTTGTTCTTTTTCATTCCATTTCTCCTTTTTATTGGCATTCATGTTTTTTTACACAAGCTATTGATGAGTATGCCAATACCTTTGACACGCCGATTGATAGAGGACTTATACTTGTAGAATCGCGACTAACAGAGTGATTTTCAAAATCTGTATCGCCAATCAAAAAAGTGTTGAAGCGTAATTGATAATGCTGAATTAAGGAAAAGGGAAGCTTTATAAATCGGGAACACTTGTATCTGTCAGCATTAATGTATGTCAATATTAACTTCATGCGAATACAGAGCCAGACGCGACCTGCCTAATGGGGGCCAGATACCGGCGGTGTCTTTTAAATTGTCTATCGTTCTTTGTTTCTTTCTTTCTCTCTGTTTCTGTCTGTCTGTCTGTCTCTCTCTCTCTCTCTCTCTCTCTCTCTCTCTCTCTCTCTCTCTCTCTCTCTCTCTCTCTCTCTCTCTCTCTCTCTCTCTCTCTCCCTCTCTTTTTCATTCTCTCTTTACCTTTCTCTTTTTTCTCTCTCCTTCCCTTCCTCTCTCTTCTTCCCTCACTCTTCCCCCCTCTCCCACCCTCCCTCTCTCTCTCCCCCCTCCCTCCCTCCCTCCCTCCCTCCCTCTATCCACTCTAACCTCTCCCCCTCCTCCTCCTCCTCCAGGCGTGGGGTTCCAAGTCGTCTGCATCGCCTTCTACGTCGACTTCTTCTACAACGTCATCTTAGCGTGGAGTCTCCGCTTCTTCTTCGCCTCCTTCACCACGGAGCTTCCCTGGACCAACTGCAACAACGAGTGGAACACACGGAACTGCAGGGAGGTGAGGAAGGGGAGGAAGGGAGGGAAGGGGGATAGGGGAAGGGGGAGGAGGGAAGGGGAGGGGAGGGGAGGGAAGGGGAAGGGAAGGGGAAGGAGGGGAGGGGGAATAAGGAGGGAATACAGGAGAGAGTTTATTATTTATGTACTAATCAATTTATATTTTTGTTTGTTTGTTATCATTACTATTATCATTATTGTTATTATTATTATCATTGTCATTATTATCATTATCATTATTATCATTAGCATTAGTATTAACATTATTACTAGAATTATTATAATTATCATCATTTTTATCAGTATCTTTATTATTATCATCATTATTGTATCATTATTTTGATTATCATTATCGATATTATTATTATTATCGTTATCATTATTATTATCATTATCATTGTCATCATTATTATTATCATTATCATTATTATTATTGTTATTATTATTATCATTATTATTATCATTCGTATTACCATTATTATCATTATTACTATTATTGTTATCATTATCATCCTCATTATCAAAATCATTACTTTTATCATGGTAATCACATTTCCAATCATTATCATTATTAACAAAGTTTTTTTTTTTATTTCATCGTCATCATTATTACCAGTTGCTACAACTATGTCATTATCATTATCAATGTCAACACCATCCTCACCATCCCGACCGTCACCACCACACCCTACCTAACGACCAATTATCCCTTTCAGATCGGCAGTAGTTACAATGAGACGGACGACTACGACCCGGACGACCCGAGCCAGGACTCCAACAAGACCACCACGCCCGCCGAGGAGTACTGGACGTGAGTGCTAGATGGGCGGTTTCGCTTCTCTGGGAGGTCGGGGGTTTCAGTGATGGTTTCAGAGAGGATGAGGTTGGTTTAGGTGCCACTGGCGAGGCTTTGGGCTGGTGCCACTCGTTAGACTCTCCCCCGGGTCGCTGACACTCCGGTTCCACTGGCGAGGCATTGAGCTGGTGCCACTCGTTAGACTCTTCCCTGGCTGGTTCCGCTGGTGAGGCATTGGGCTGGTTCCACTCGTTAGACTCTTCCCCGGCTGGTTCCGCTGGTGAGGCATTGGGCTGGTTCCACTCGTTAGACTCTTCCCCGAGTCACTGAAACGCTGGTTCCACTAGTGAGACATTCGCCTGGTTCCACTCGTTCGACTCTTCCCTGGCTGGTTCCGCTGGTGAGGCATTGGGCTGGTTCCACTCGTTAGACTCTTCCCTGGCTGGTACCGCTGGTGAGGCATTGGGCTGGTTCCACTCGTTAGACTCTTCCCCGAGTCACTGAAACGCTGGTTCCACTAGTGAGACATTCGCCTGGTTCCACTCGTTCGACTCTTCCCTGGCTGGTTCCGCTGGTGAGGCATTGGGCTGGTTCCACTCGTTAGACTCTTCCCTGGCTGGTACCGCTGGTGAGGCATTGGGCTGGTTCCACTCGTTAGACTCTTCCCCGGGTCGCTGACACTCTGGTTCCACTGGAGGCCGCACGTGGAAGGCCGGAGGAGGAAAGGAGAGGTTGAGGAAAGTTGAGGGATGAGGTTTAGGATCGCTAGATAGCTAGGTGGATTGATTTTAGAGTGATGGATAGTTGGACTGGTGGACGGGCTGACTGTTGGACGGATGGGTGGATGAGTGGGTAGATGAACAAATTGATAAATACATAGGAATATGGGTATAAAGACGGAGTGGAGGTATAATGAACGAGCAGATGGAGAGATAGATGGATGCAGGAGTGGATATATATGTTGTCCAGGTCTGACATTCTGGTTCCACTAGTCAGACTCTTCCCTGGGTCGCTGAGGCCGGGTTTTCATTGGTCAGATTTATCCCTGGTCCCAGAGCTACCTCCGGCCTCTCGTGTTATTTACACTCTTGTCGTGACTAGGCTGGATTCTAAAGGATCTTTAATGATATCATAACTAAAAGTGGTAATATTAAATGATTTCTAAGTAGACTGCAGATCATCATAGTATCTTAATAGCCTCTCAGAGTTCCCCAGATAGCGGTGCCTACCTGGCCCGAAGGTGTTCCGAAGTTAGATAGGAACTTCAGATCTAGCATGGTCGCTGGGAGTTTACATATCTGTCTGTGTAGCTATGTGTTCGATTTATATATTTATATATATATATATATATATATATATATATATATATATATATATATATATATATATATATATATATGTGTGTGTGTGTGTGTGTGTGTGTGTGTGTGTGTGTGTGTGTGTGTGTGTGTATACATTCATCCCTCTAACTATCCATTTTTTCATCCATGTAATCGTCTTCTAATCCATCTGTCTATACAGTTATCCGTCCAATCTATCCTTCTCCACGGCCATCCATCTTCCCACCCACTCGTTCGTCATACATCCATCCAGTCGTTCGTTCTCTCCACTTATTTGTCCAACCGTCTACATACTCATCCACTTATGTATCCATCAATCTGTCCACCTACCCACTCATCCACCCTTCCGTCCACCAGTCAGTCCATCCACCAGTCCAACTATCCACCGCTCAAAAATCTATCCACTTGGCTATCTGTCCAGCTACCTCGCCTTATCCTCTTTCCTTATTTTCTCTCATTTTCTTTTTTCCCTCCTTCGGCATTTCACATCCTTATATCCCTCATCCTCCCTCATCTTTCCTTATCCCTTACCTCATCACCCACATCTTTCAGTAATCTCTCTCGTCTTCCCTCATTTGCCCTCTTTTTTTATCAAACCCTGTCTCGTTTCCTTTATCTTCTGTAGATATTTTTCTCCCTTTCTTGTCTTCCCACATTTTCTTCTTCTTCATCTTTCTTCCCCATTCTCTTTCACTCCCAACATCATCTCCTTTTTATCCTCCCTCACCACCTTCGTTCTCCCTCATTCATCCTTCTCACTCAGTACTTCTCTCATTCTCCCTCATCGTCCATTTTCCCATTTTCATTCTCCCTCACCACCTTCAAGCTCCCTCACGCTCCCTCATCCTCCCTCACTATCCTCATTCTCCTTCACCCTCCCTCGGCCCTTTTCTCCCTCTCCCTCATCCTCCTTTAGCTCCGTTTTCCTCCTCCCTCATCCTCCCTCACCGGCCTCTTCCCCATCCTACAACGAGCGGAAGAGACCCGTAAGGACTTTCCTATGTATCGCTTCCGTGATTTCGGGGAAACAGCGCCTTTCCAATTGTGTCGGGGAGGAGAGGGGGAGGGGGGGAGAGGTTTAGGGGGAGGGGGAGGGGAGTGAGGGAGGGAGGAGGGAAATGAGAGGGGGAGGGGAATGAGGGGGAGGTTGTGAGGGGAGTGATGGAGGGGGAGGGAAGTGAGAGGGGGTGGGGGTGAGGGAAGTGAGAGGTGGAGGGGAATGAGGGGGAGGTTGTGAGGGGAGTGATGGAGGGGGAGGGAAGTGAGAGGGGGAGGGGGGAGGAAAGTGAGAGGTGGAGGGGGTGAGGGAGTAAGGGGTATGAGGGAGTGAGAGTATAAGGAGAGGAAGTGATGGGGAATGAGAAGGAGTAAGGATTGAGGAGGTGAGGGGGGAGGGGGAGGGGAGTGAGAGAGTGAGGGAGATGAGGGAGTGAGAGTAGAAGGAGAGGAAATGATGGAGGATGAGGAGTAAAGAGTGAGGAGGTGAGGGGAGGAAAGGGGTGATGGAGTAAGGAAATAAGGAGGCGAAGCGAATGAGGAAATGAGGGAAGCGAGAGGGGTGAGGGAGAGTAGGAGTCGAGGAAAGTAATGACAGGGGGAGGAAGAGAGAGAGAGTGAAGAGAGAAGAAGGAGGGGGAGAGGAGGGAAGGAGAAAGAGAGATTGAGATGAGGAAACGGCGGAAGAGAGAAGGGGAGTGAGAGGAAGTGAAGGAAAGCGAGAGCCTGAAGGAAGAGGGGAGATGATGGAGGGAATGGGGGGGGGGGGGGGCGAGGGAGGGGGAGCAATTGACTTCGAAAAAGTACGAGGAAGAGGAACTAGCCAGACCTCTGGAGGGAAGATGAAAGGAAGAAAGGGAGAAGGAGAAGGAAATGAGAGAAAGGGGGAATTGCGAAGGAGAGGAAGAGAGAGTTGAAGAGAGAAGAGTGAAGGAAATAGAATAAAGAGGAATATGGAAGCAGAAGTAAAAGAAAGAGAGGATTAGAAGAGAAAGAG